TTTGGACACAGTTCAAAAAGTAGCAAGTGTCTGGAGGGCAGCGTGATGCAAGGCATTTTGGCAGAGGGAGTCATGGAGAGCAGTTGGGCAGCTGTATAGGAAAGAGGAATCTAGAATGTGAACGACATGGCTCCTTTGGATACTTCTGAGGGCGCTTGTGGTGGGGGGGGGGGTCATTTTGGGTGTAGGCTATTGGATGGAGGAAAGCAACAGATGTGACAGAAGAGGATTTCTAAGCCAGCCAATGAATGTGTGCACATGCTGTCTGGACGGAGAAGTCAGTGTTGAATTTGCACCTGTGCCTATAATCAGGAAGTAAATGGTTCACTGGTCACAGTAAGAACGGGGCTCATTTGGGAGGCAAATTGAAACTCTATTTAAGCAAAGTGATTCAGAAGGAGATGTTCAATACCATTTTCCTCCTGGGAACATTTCTTCCTAAGGCATTAATCAGGGTAACAGGCAAAATACTCACTAATATTGTTCCAAGGCTAAGAATGTGTCTCTGAGACAAAAACCATGGAAACCTACTTATTTTCTGAAATGTTGCCTCTCTGAAAGAAAAGATGAGAGGATGAGTAAGCAGACATGCTTTATTTAAAGGTTAGGTGTGAGTCAGGGGAACTTTGAGTGTGCTCAATATGGCAGGGTCATCTGAATGTCTATATGAAATGATGAATGCAAGAAAGTGAAATCATAGCATGGATTGGAAGTGAAAAGTGCTATAAAAGGGTAGCATTTACAGGATTGAACTAATGTGAAATTTGTCTGCAGGATCTGGGACATAATTTATTTTTATAATGAAGACTTAATTAAATTTTAAATCCTGGGTCTTAATTTTTTAGTTACATGAGTCAAGACAAGTTAGGATCTACAATAGTCATCTTTCTCACTTATTGAATGTTATCTACCTCATAAGGTGGTTGTGAGAATTCAAAGAACTAATCCATATGAAGTGCTTAACGCAGTGCCTGGTCTATAACTACACACTCTGTAAAAAATTAACTGCTGTCATTAGCCTTTCAGTCTTCAAGCCATAAAGAAAACCCATCAATTATGTCCGAATGGGAGGAATCCTTGTTGGGTGGGGATCTCAGTTTACTCAAAGAAAAAGATTCTTTGTACTGCCATAAAGAAATAGAGATCTTGGTCAAAAGATTAACATCCCCATCCTAGTTTTAATTATTTTGACTCCTAAAAAGGAACAGGCTCTAATATTTTTTGAACACCTACCATGTGTCAGGCACTCTGGAAGCTGCTTGACTCACAGCATCCTGTGAAGTCACTCTCATGGTCCCACTATTATTAACAAGGAAACTGAGGCCCAAAGAGATGAAGAACGTTTCCAGGCTTCTATGCCTTATGGTTGGCAGAACAGGGATTTGAAGGCCAAAGGCCACGCTCTTCCAGTTCATCTCACAAGACCATGTAAGTAGTAGGGGGAATGGAAACTCCAGAGGCTGACAGGCCCTGCTACAGACTCTGAGGTAATAGCAACGTTTCTATTTTGATGTTCCTATTAAAATCTTATCCTCTGGCTGAGAGGCCTGGCAGATGGCAAATGTCACCCTTGAGCAGTCACCCAAGTCAAGTGATAAACCACATCCAGGCTTTGGGCTGCTTTCCCTGCTCGGGGAAGGAGGATGGTTCAGCTCCCTGGTCTGTCCGTCGACTGGGTTGCTTCTTGGAGCTCACAGGAAAATGTACTTTATTTACCTGCTAAGAAAAGCTCCTGAGGCTCTGTGGGCAGTTGTTTTGGGGAAAGATTGACTTTAACAACACGCACTTGATAGTTTAGCAGCTTTAGAAAGATCTGAGAAGAAAATGTTCAGTTACAGATAAAGCGGCTTTGGCAACGTGATTTCTCTAATGCTGGGCGGCTGCAGAGGCTGCGTGATACAGACAAGGCACAGATACTTTGGGTCTCCCCGTGTTGCTTCAGAACATTCTGTTCCCTGCCCATTGTCAACCAGACAAACATGCCATCGTGGGTCACAACGATGCATATTCTTTACTAACTCTTTGCAAATACGGCTTTTTAGGACCATTCCTTAAACAAAGCAATTTGCTATGAGGTGTTAGGGGTTTTAGCATTTTGAGAATACTTCTTTAGTTCTATAGTGGGAGAACACAGAGCCTGACTTGCTTTGAGGCCCAAATTTACCCTTTAATGACTCTGTGACCTTCGTTAATCCCCTTATCCTCTCTAAGCCTATTTCGACCTCTGCCATGGAGGCGTCACTGCTTTCTTTCTGGGATTGCTGTGAGAATTCAGTGATGTAATGTAAGTTCAAGTGCTTTGCAAATTGCACGAGGCCATTTAAAAACGAACCATTTGTGTTATTATTATTTATATTTGGGGCTTAACATCGTCTGGTATTAATAAAGATTCCCTGATGGTTAATGACACCCTGAAGATCTAAAACAAGGTTGCAGTGAAGCCACAGGAATGAAAAGCCAGGCATAGGGAATCCAGTCAATAATAGCGTAATAGCAGTGTATGGTTGACCAATGTTGACTACACTTATCATAGTGAGCATCGTGTATCGTACAGGGCTGTTGAATCACGATGCTGTACACTTGAAACTAATATAATAATATATTCAACTATATTTAAATTAAAACAAAAAAATAAAAAAAAAGTAAAGTCTAATAAGTCATAATGAGATGCCAGAAATTGGGTAGAGTAGAGATATGGAACCGGTAATTTAATACAGACATCAGAGCAACACGGAAGAAGATCCAGAGTGTAGTAGGAGCTGTTTGGAGAAAGGAGAACCGAGGGACCGAACATGCTTTAAAGACACAGAAGAGGAGCGCCTGGGTGGCTCAGTGGGTTAAGCTTCTGCCTTCCGCTCAGGTCATGATCTCAGGGTCTCAGCCCGCATCGGGCTCTCTGCTCAGCAGGGAGCCTGCTTCCCCCTCTCTCTCTGCCTGCCTCTCTGCCTACTTGTGATTTCTCTCTCTGTGTGTCAAATAAGTAAATAAAATCTTAAAAAAAAAAATAAAGACACGGAAGAGATAATAGCTTCTCAGACCATAGTGTGTGGTCTGGAATGCTGTGAGCTGTCACTTTATTGGCAGCATCGGGAAGTCACATGAATTAGTTTCTGATCCATCACGTCCTAATTGTGGGAATACTTCAACCCTTGGGCAAAAAGTGACGATGATGACACTTTGTCACAGGGTTATGAAGATTAAATGGGATGATATATGTAAAGTACCTGACGGGTAATATGGCCGGTAAATATGGTTTCTCTACTTCCTGCTCCTCCTCCTCCTCTCTCTTTTTTTTTTTTTTTTGGTTGGATAAGAACTCTAGCTAGGCAAAGCACGGTCAGTACTAGTAGAAACTAAGGTGCTTCTCAGAGCATTCAGGCAAGGTCCGAAGGCAATCAGTAGATCCCTAGTAAATTCTCTGGGATTACTTGCAATGCCACCCAAACTTCTTAATGGAGTCTGAGTCTATGTCGCCACTTCAATGATCAAGTGCAGAGAAAGTCGTAGGTGTTCAGTAGGAGCAAAGACTTTTAACCAGGGGGCTCTGAAGGGAAGCATGAAGGTGTTTGCAAAGTGCAGGGTGTGCAGGGATTAAATTCAGAAGTCCTTCAGATATAAGGGTTCCGTGTTGGTGATGAGAAAGGAATCATCAGTTGAGCCAGAGTTTGGTTAGAAGCTCTTGCTAAGGGACGCCTTACCAGGATCAAGTTTTCCAAACTGTAGAGTTGATTTACTGAGTTATTTTTAAAGTATTTGTTATCTGCTTTTCAGAAACACTTCTCTTTAAGCAAGCAACTGAGGGTTCATGAATGTAAACATTTCAATGATTACAACATAACTTTTTAAGAATTGTTAATTTAAAAAATATCTCAATAAGAACACATAATCAGTGATTTTAGCTCTTAAATATACGAGGGTATGAAACGAGGCAAGTAAAATGAGAATCAGTTTAAAAAGGAAACTTTTCTCCATGTTGTCAATTTGAGACCTAATGCGATCTGTCTATGGAGTGTGGTGAGGATGGACAGAATGTGGTCGTAAAGCCACGGGATATTTTCAACTTCCAGGTCTTTCTTATAGTTCTCACTAAAGAGAACAAATTCGCAGTGAGTGAGATTTTGAAAGCTACCTATGTTTCAAAGATCCGTAGCCTTTAAATTGTTGTCATTATCATACCACAAGAAATCCCATCTTTTTTCCACGCACAGGTTAGAAAATGATTGTGACATTTCCCACATCTCTTTCTTCCATGCTATCTATATTTTGTGGTAATACTAATAACCCCATCTTCTATTCCAGCTTTTCAATTTTTTTTCACATCCGTCACCTCATTTTAAGCCAAGGCAATTTTAAAACTTTCCTTGTTATGTTGCAAGTTGCTGACTCTGGACTGATTTTGTGTGATGGGTAAGGAACGACATCAAGAAGTGAAGTCAACACCTATGACCAAATGATTAGGGAAGTAGAAGAGAGAAAATGCTAGTGAAGTATTCCTACAGTGTCTTCTCTTCCAAAGTATGGTTGTGACTGGGGACAGCTTGGGAGAGGGGTGATGGAGGAAAAGTATAAACACACCCATTGAGTTGTCACCTGTCGAGAGTGGGGGTTGGGGCTGTGAACAAGGACTGTTTTTTGATCACTGTTATATGCCAGGTAGGCGCCAGTAGCTGAGCCACAATATATAAAATACATTTATTTTTTGTTTGCTCAACAACTGTAAAAGATAGATATTGCTACAACCATTTTATAGATGAGGAAATAGGCTTGGAGAACTTTGGGTAAGTCACTAATATGTATTTAAAAAATAAATATTGTGTTGCTATGCGTAGGGGATATTTATAGTCAAATTTCTATTGCCTTTTGGTGTTGCCTTGGTCTTTATTAAAAATCCAGATGGAAGATCTGATTATGTCTCTAAAAATAAGAATGGCTCTTATATATGCAACATGGGCAAAGCCAAAAATAAAAAAAGTTGTGGAGTAGCCCAGTGAGGGCCATACCTGAGGATACTTTGTTCTAGAACCTGGATCTGGTGCTGGTCTCGTTGATTTTGTTTCTTCATCTCTTCCTGTTCTTTTCCGGTGCTGACTCCATCTAGAAGCCATTTCTCCCTTAAGGCTTTTTTCTGATATCAGGAAACATAAAGATGTTCTTATATCAGTCAGTAATTTCCACAATCTCTGGCTGCTTTGAAATCTCATGAATTTTAATAGTGGACAGAGTAAAGAGAAATTATTTTTTCTCACTGCCTTGCCTGAATAAATCTGGTGTCTTCCTTCATTGCACCCTTTGTGACCCCCTTCCAAAGACAGTTTTATGTGTCTAAATCCCATTTTTCTTTTAAGTTCCGGTTCAGGTCCCTCCCTCTCTGTGAAAATCTCTGTTCTCCCCCCATACCTTCCACAGCCCCATCCTTGCCCTCAGAGAACTCTCTTTCCTCAGAATCAGGCAGCACTATGTATAGACACTATGTCTAGCAGTTGTACGGGGACCTTATCATGTGATATCTATTATTTGTTTGGTTAATGGTTGTACATCTTGTGTCTTTGAAGTAAAATGTTCCTTGAAGCCATTTTTTAATTCATCTCAATGACAGTGTATGGCGAATGCTCCAAAACAATTTGGGGGGGGGATTATTTGAAATGGTGGGTGAAACAAGAAATTGCTATTGTATCTTAAACTAATTCAATGTTGGTCTTAAGTGGTGTGGTCAGCATTTATGACTTTGCCTACCCAATACCCTTCTTTCTTCTGAGAAGCTACCTGGTTCCAGATACCTAAGCTTCGCCTAAATGACTTGTTCCAATAACGTGGTGCAGAAATTCACTGATCTGTCTAAATACAGGTGAGTTGAATTTTTGTCAACTTTAACAAAACAGAAAATATTTATGTTTTATCACATGGAAAAAAAAGTCCCCTTGAATTTGCATGAAAGGATTACAATGCTGGACCTTGAACCTAAGAAGACTTAAAGCAAATGAGAAACATATAAATTTTGGAGGGAACTTAGCTAGCATCCCATCCATGTCTTACATAGGAACTGTTAGACACTATTTCCAAAGAGTTTGAGTTTTTTCTTTTCTTTCTGGAGAAAACTGTTCTCCCTATATAATCTACCTGTGTAAATTATTTGTTCAAAAATTACTTTTGGGGATTCACTGTATCTAAAGTGGTGAGGAGAGAAGAATGGGAGCTTTGTATTTCCTGAGAATTCTTTCTCTGATGCATGATTAAAGTGAGAGCGAGTAAAGAGAACTTTTTTAGAAGGGTGCTGGGGTTAATACTACTAGCATATAAATACCTTTGAATTTTAAACAAAATTCAAATAACGTTGATTGTGCTAGGTAATTACCAAATGATGGCTATTTTAAGTAAGGCAATGGTTTTCAAACCAATTAGAAGCATTACATTGATTACAAATATATATTATGTGGAATTACACTTTGTAGGACTGATACAACCTGGATTGCTCTAGTTGAAGCAATGAGGGGGCCTGGCAGCCTGTGGAAGCACAGAACACAGTTTGAAAACCACTAGATCAAGTAGGAACCTTGTCCTAGATCATTGTATTCGTGTTGGCCTTTTTAGAGTTTCAAGCAATTGCATGTGGACAACACACCCCATAAGGAAAGTTTGTAGCAAGGGAGTCTCTCCTTCAGTGTTGTCTTAACCCTTAATTATAGCTCTTCGGCTGTTTGTAGAAATGCTCTCCCACAGACACAGTTAAATGTTATTAATCAAGGTCAAGATTTATCTTTGAGATCAAAGATGCCAAGAAAATCTTAGTATACTATCATTTTAAGAATTTACCTTAATTCTAATATATTTTTATTTGATGGAATGTGATGATAGCTAATGTGTAATAAAGAAGACAGATGACACCTCTCAAAGTAAATTATAGTCCTTACAAACCACCTATGAGGACAGTTTCAGTCATTTACATCCATATCACTATAAGAAACATTTAGATGGGGGACACCTTGGTGGCTTGGTGGGTTAAAGCCTCTGCCTTTCGGCTCAGGTCATGATCCCAGCGTCCTGGGATCGAGCCCCACATCGGGCTCTCTGCTCAGCAGGGAGCCTGCTTCCTCCTCTCTCTGCCTGCCTCTCTGCCTACTTGTGATCTCTGTCTGTCAAATAAATAAATAAAATCTTAAAAAAAAAAAAGAAACATTTAGATGGGATGGTCTTATATTGCTGAGTTACAGGGAGCAGAGAATAATTCTGATGATGTGTTATGTGAACTTGGGCCTATGTAGTCTTATATAAGTGTTATATATATATAGTCTGATATATAGTCTTATATAAGTGTTCTTAGTCTGGTTAGGAACAAGAATAATTTTAATTTTGGCCTCATAAAACTTTGTTCATAATTCACAAATTGTCATTTACCTCTGGCGGAGAACTTTGCCAGAGGTAAAATGAAAAAATGAATTTGTGAATTAGCTCTTTGCCTCTGAATATAAAATACATAATTTCGATGTGCATTTAAATGATATGGTACAATCGTATATTGTAACAACTTAAACATAGTTATTTTGTTTTATGTCACTGTTTAGACTTGTACTTTGGTCTATGAGGTTGATGAAAAATCTGTTCCACAACGACATTCAGATTCAAAAGCCATATTAACGAAATGAAAATATAAGGACATGCCAGTAATAGATCTTTGAGCAGTTTTTTTATGGAAAGTTTTTCTGTAAAAAACTTTGCATTTTATATAGCATTTAGAGTGGACTTTAAGAATAAATTAGTTTTGGGGTGCCTGGGTGGCTCAGTTCAGGTCATGATCCTGGAGTCCCGGGATCGAGTCCTGCATCAGGTTCCCTGCTTGGCCTCTAACTCTGACCCACCCCTCCATTCCCTTTTCATTCTCTCTCTCTCTCAAATAAATAAAATCTTGAAAAAAAAAGTAAAAAAAAAGAATAAATTAGTTTTTCATACCATGAATCAAATGGACTTCCGGAAAAGTTTTCTAAGTTGAGTATAGTTTGTGTTTCTGGGTGGCAGACTGTGATCACGTTACTAGGTGAGGAGACACATAGTGTACAAATCTCAGAAATGTTTGAAAGTTAGAATGCTCCTCATGTCCCCAGAAATTCCCTTTCCAGCATGTCATTGGTATGATTGCCCAGTTCCAGAGCCAAAGAATATGAGTGAGTTACTACTCTTATTTTGCAATGTATGTACTAATGACACAGAGCAGAGCTTTGTAAATGTTTGTGTTTGTGTTGTTTAAAGTGTCATTGAAGTGTAACAAAATATTTGGCAATCAGGAAAGTGCTGAGGACAGTCAGTGGACCGGAGACAGATGGGTGAAGAGGAACATCAAAGAACACCTGGTGACTATAGGGGCCGATAGAGCTTTCCTGACTTGGTGAGGGTATTGTAGAATCAATTTTAAAAATATTTCTGGGTTCTGGGAGGCACAGCTGGTTAAGCATCAGACTCTTGGTTTTGGCTCGGGTCGTGATCTCAGGGTCGTGAGATTGAGCCCCGTGGGGGGCCCCCCCTCCATGCTCAGCAGGGAGTCTGCTTCAGACTCTCTCTCCCACTCTTCTCTCTCTCTCTCGAATAAATAAATAAATAAATGGATGTTTAAAAAAACACCTCTGCACATTTCCGAGCCCCATTTATAATGGTGCCTAGTTCCTGTTTGGTCCAGCTTACCATTTTCTGTAAAACACGATGCAAACAGCCACTCTTTCCTCTGTGTTCCCTTTGTAGTTTGTGCCTTGAATAAGCAGGGCTCATCATGGTGTTTCTGTGTCATCTCAAGGTTCTGGGTCAGTTATCATTGTAAAGACCTAGGTCAAACTTTATTGTGTGTTCTTAGTGTCCTGCTTAGTACCTGACACGTAATAAATAATTAATAAATTTTTTTTTGACTCAAAGGCTCTCTATACACCCATACAAATCCTACCAATCGGTTAAGACTCAGCTGAAATCCCACACCTTTAATAGCCTTGCTTTGACTACTTCAGATTAAAGAGTTACTCCTTATATTCTTTCTTAAATTTAAAAAATCATCTCTTAACTTGTCCTAATTATTTATTTAATCCTGGGTTCCCCACTAGGTTGCAGGCAGAAGGGCTACAGCTCTCCAGAACCACTACTAGTCTCTGTGGTATTAATATGAAAATCAGAAAAAATTGCTGGTTCTCCCCTCACCCCTTTGGCTCAGGGCACAGCTTGGGAAGATGTATGGCACCTTTGTGCAGAGAAAAAGAAATGCTATCCTTCAGCCAGAACCAGCCCTATGCCAGCGTGCCCAGTTCCAAGGGAGTGTAGGCAGAGGTTTTAGCACCGCTTTCTCGGGTATTTTTGTGCCGTACACAATCTGCACAACAGTGTTCGGCAATCCAAAACATTATAAATGTTCTGTTTGGATTGGATTAAACAATCTCCTGGGTTCCAGAAAGCAAACCTATATGGAAGATCATGTAGGACTTTTTTTTTTTTTTAAAATAAAGATTTTATTTATTTATTTGACAGAGAGAGAGAAGAGAGTGAGAGGGAACACAAGCAGGGGGAGTGTGAGAAGGAGAAGCAGGCTTCCCGTCGATGCAGGGCTCAATCCCAGGACCCTGCCGAAGGCAGATGCTTAACGACTGAGCCACCCAGGTGTCCCTCATGTATGACTTTTTAGACTGACTTTGGCAAGTATTGAAAAGAGGTGCCACCTCGGAAATGGAGTTTTCAGTGAGTCAGAGTTAGAGTTTTCTTATGTGGAACTTGCCTCCTAGAATGAACTTGGGATATTTAACCCTTTCTCCTACTGTGAGCTCTATTGTTGTTTGGCGACCCGCTTGACAAGGATAGCAATTCCTGAATGCCAGAGAGCTATCCATTTACTCAGAACCTGTCATTAGTTTATGGAGAGCCTCAAACTGTGGGTGTGTTTGTACTAGAGAGAGAGAGAGAGGGAGAGAGAGAGATGAGGGAGAGAGAGAACGAGCACTGGTTATGGTGTTAGAAACGGCTCAGCTCAACAATTACTGTGGACTTGCCTTTTTTTTTTTTTTTAAAGATTTTATTTATTTATTCGACAGACAGAGACCACAAGTAGGCAGAGAGCCAGACAGAGAGAGAGAGAGAGAGAGGAGGAAGCAGGCTCCCCGCCGAGCAGAGAGCCCGATGTGGGGCTAGATCCCAGGACCCCGGGATCATGACCTGAGCTGAAGGCAGAGGCTTTAACCCACTGAGCCACCCAGGCACCCCTGGACTTGACTTTCACCAAAATAACTTGGTAAAGTTTGTTTTAACCTCACTGATCGTTCTGGTTATACACACTGCATTTCTTGGCTCTATCTACACGTCATGTAAATTCAATGTGGCCCACTGCAAGGATAGCAGGTTAACTATATTTTGAAATTAACTATCAAACATTGGAAATGTCAATTTATATAGGAGCAAACAGGCAAACGGAATTTAGAGAACTGAGGCTAATTGGAATCTTAAATGATGTTTCTTTTCAGAGGAGGTCACTTGATCTATCAGAAGCTAGAAGCAGCTGAATTAGGAACATTTATCTAAGTGTGTAGACCCCATGAGTGTGCGACATTGTTTCACTGAGGGATTCATTAAATCTGTTGGTAGCAGCCTTGCCAGAGAGGTAGCTCCTTGCTTGGGTCTGTTCACAAGGACCTCCTGTTTGTGATTTGGCCTCCTGTTTCCTGTGGCGAAGCTACATAATAAAATGTTGAAACTCAGTGTGCTTTAATTACAAAATGACCACACCCAAAGAATATGTAAAGTCTGATTTTAAAAATGGAGGTTTATTTCTGGTGATGATCTCATGGTTTATCAAGACAAAACAAAGCAAAAGGAAACAAAACCCCCCAAACATACTCAAACAATATTGGATTCATGGCACTGAGTTTTCAATACTAACATCCTTGACCAGGCTAGACAGTGTCTGTTGTGCACCCCCTGGGGGAAAGCTGGCCTTTCGTTTATTTCAAAAGGGAATTCCTAGCTGGATTGGTCCCTAGGGATCTTAAGCAAGACTGTGTTCAGGGGGCCAAATTATGAAGGCTAAATTCTCAAGGTTACCCAAGAAAATGAGGAAATTCAGTAATAAAGGATAAAAGTAATAAAAACTTGTTTTCTACATGTTTACCAGAAGATAGTAATCTCCTATGCAAATATTACTAGCTTCTCAGCCCTCCCCTACGGTTATTAGGGTGTTAGTAAAACTATGCCGAATTTTTTCCTTCTCAAAGCATCTTTACTATAGAGATTTTGAGTGCCATTAGGATATTTGAATACAAAATCATTGAAATGAAATTAAAATCATAAATTACCTTCAAATGCTGGTGCTTTAGTTTTTCTTCCTCTATTTTCAGACGCTTCTGTGAGATTTCTTCCTGTATTTTTCTTTTATCCTGAAATAAAAGGAGTTTCAGCGTAATCTATTTTTTCAATTTGCTTAAATATGTTTCCTTGGGGCTGTCGTCATTACCGAATGACTGGCCAGCGGTACACTCCTGGCATTGGTAGAAAGCTTCTTTGGAAACTCGTATTTCAAAGGGAAGGGGGGCAAAATGAGACATTCAAAACATTTTGCTGATGGAAAACGATAGAAGGTGCTTTTTCAAAGAGAACTTGAAAATATTTCAATGTCTTTCCTTCTCCACTCTCCTCCGTCCGCTTTAAAAAAATCTTCCCCATTAATCTAGCAAGATTGAGCTACTGAGTGATGCAATGGAAAAAGTGAATTTTAAGGAGGGAATTTTGAAATAAGTCTGAGGAAACCCTGTGAGGAGAAAGACTGTTCCTGGCACAGGACTGAAGAAACTGCTGGGTAAAAGGTCTGCTTATGTGGGAAAACAGGATAGCTAGCCTACAGAGCATTTGAAAACTAGGAAGCTAGAAAGTGGGAGTGTTTCCTCCTTGCATAACTTGCTATGTGAAGATAGAGAAAAAAGGGTTCAGATAATGCTTGTTAACAGTAAGAGAGCTTTTAACTCCAGTTAAAAAAAAATTTCATGGGGTGATGGGGTTTCTTTCACCAAGTTTAAATTGCATTACCTCAAAAAACCCAGGAAGCATAACCGTTAATGCCCAGTGGTTGTACTTTTTAGAAAATATAGCATATGTACTATGTAGTCTGGGTTTGATTTCTGGCTCTGCCATTTACTAGGCCTCTGTTCTCCGACAAAATTCTTAGGGTTTCTGTGCCTCAATTACCTCATCTGAAATAATGGGGATAATAAGGGAATCTACCTCATAAGATATGAGCATTAAATATACGTCAAATTTCCTAGGATGGTATTTGACGCATAACACTCTCTAAGTATTTGTTTAATAAAGTTAAGGAAATAAGGCATAATCTGTTAATCACAGAAAGTAGCACACTAATTCTGATAATGCTTCCATAAACCTGAAATGTTTTAGAGAGTCCCTCTCTGGAATTTTCTGAGGCATTTTACAAGCTATGCAAAAAGGCTCTTATTTCCTTATTTTTTGACCAGAGGTGACATTATCCTCCATCTCTTTTATAAGAGTGGATTTTGAATCAGCTTTCAAAATTGAAAACTCTCAAGGGATAAAAATTTGTTGCCAGTGAAGACAACTGAAAGAATGTGAAGCAGGCTCAGAAGGTAATTTGGAAGGAAGAGTTCCAAAAATACTTGGCAACATTGTTGAAATAAGTGCAAGCCTTCCTGATGTGACTCCTTTGAAGATAAAAACTCTTTTTTGATGTTTAAGTTCAAGTACATTTGTCGAAGAAAAACAACATGTTACTCTCCAACTTGATGTCATGTTTTTCTTTGTGTGTTAGAAGAATACACGACTTCATCAGTAACCCACTTTGTAAATTTTATAAGCAGTTATTTTGAAAAAAAAAATTAGCTAGGCAACAAGGAACAAACTGAGGGTTTTGGAGGGGAGAGGTAGGAGGGGTGGGGTGTGCCAGCATCGTGGGTATTATGGAGGACACATATTGCATGGAGCACTGGGTGTGGTGCATAAACAATGGATTCTGGAACACTGAAAAGAAATTTAAAAGAATAAATAAAAATTTTAAAAAATTAGCTAGGCAACAAACATGGTCTTCAGTATTACTTGTTTAGGTCAGATCTGGTCATTAGGAACAAAAACTCTGACCTGTGAATCAATTCTCCATTCTATCTAGAGGCTGTAATTGAGCAGATATTAGTAATATTTTAAATGTATTATGCCAAACATTTTGGTAAGTATTTTACAGGTACTATTTCACTGAATCATCATAATAACAAAGATATTGCATTAATTTTCA